TTGGGGGCTCCACTGGGAGCCTGGGGGGTTATTCATTGCCTGGGATCATCCAGTCCTAGTCGTGTACCTGTGGCGCTGCACGGGCGAGCCTGGCTGGGTTCTTAGACCACGTTTCTTCTTGCCTCCTGCGGCTGAGGAAATGAGGCGTGTAATACAGCCCTGCTCCGGGGAGAGCTGAAGCAAGTAGGAAATTGCTCGGGCCCCCAAGGAATGTGGCAGGGTGGAGAGGTGGGATCCAGCGGTGAGGGCACACAACCTTCCGATTGTGCCCCGGAATGGGCGGCGTGAGCTGCCAGGGGAAGAGATTAAGCTGTGAAACTATGCGCTGAGTTTGCAGGGCTTTTCGGCTCAGCGTGCTAAGCGCCGAGCTGCACCGGCAGGCGAACGCCTCAGCCTGACCGAACGCCCGGAGGCTTTGCGGGGAATAAGGTGGAACTGGACGGTTTCGGCTCACGCTGAAGCTTTTCCTCATGTGTGCTGGTACCTACCTCCTCCCAGCTCCCCAGCTGACACTGAGGCTAAATCCAGCTGCAGAAGGACGGAGGTGCCTGGGTGCAAAAAACACACCCAGCTGTTAGAGACACCTAATGAAGAGATGCTGCAAGACAAGGCTTGCAGGGAGGAGCGATCCTCTTTCAGACCACCTTGGGAGGCTTTCACGGAGTTTGGCACAGCAAATGCTGAGCTGGGGCTAGGCAGGGACTGTGGATAACCCAATGTATATTAATCGTCAAGACAATCTGAAGGAAAAGGGAGGTGAACACCGGGAGGCAAAGAGACTAGGCACTCCGTTGGACAAACGGTGAGCCCAGCTGGCTTGGGACGTGGGAGGGAGCCGTCTTGGGAGCTGCTGCGCCTTCTCTGCAGCCCGCAGGGGAAGAATTTGTCTGTTCTTCATGCCCACTGCAGGATGTCATTTCTGCTGGCTTGCCCCAGGTGTCTCTTGTGCCCATCTCTTGCTTGGCTTGGCTTAATCACCTCCCCTTGCACCCTGTCTGGGGTGAGCAAGGCAGGCAGGCTGCGGTGGCCCTGCTGGCCCAGGTTGGGGGGGCGATCGAGGACTCTGAGGGGAAGAAGCGTCCTGTGCTCAGCAGGGTGTTGCTCCTTCTGCCCTGCAGCCCCTCATTCCCTGGGCAATGGTCGCTGCAAACCTCTCCTTGCCCAGAGGAGGGGCTCCAGCAGGACTGGGGGGTGTGCACCAGCCCCCTGAGCGAGTGGGGCAATGCAGAACCTCTGCCTCACAGCCCAGGGCTGTCCCCTGACGATATCTGCTCTCTGCAGGTCTTCACTACTCCAGCACAGCAACCGGTGGCCACCCCTCTGATGACCCCCAGTTACTCCTACACTACCCCCAGCCAGCCGATTACAACACCCCAGTACCAGCTCCAGGCCAACACCACGCCCCAGTCCACCCAGTCGCAGACACAGTCGCAACCATCGTCCAGCTCCAGGCAGAGGCAGCAGCCAAAGTGAGTGACTCCGGCGCCGGGCGCACGTGTTCCGTCTGTGTCCCATTGTGATTGCTTTTGTTGATTTTTGGGGAACCAGCGTGGTGGGGATACCATCCATGGGAGGGCCGGGAAACTGTCTCACCAGCACGTCTCACCTTCTGCCCGTGTCGTTGCAGGACCAACAGCCACGCTGCGATCGACTGGGGGAAGATGGCCGAGCAGTGGCTGCAGGAGAAGGAGGCCGAACGGAGGAAACAGAAGCAGAGGTTGACTCCTCGCCCCTCTCCCAGCCCCATGATCGAGAGCACGCCCATGTCCATCGCTGGGGACGCCACGCCGCTGCTGGATGAGATGGATCGATAGGCCGTGCTGGACCTGACCCGTCACCTCCGCTCTCCCCTCTAGGAAGGGGAAGGGAGAGTAAACAGTTGAAAACAACTTCCCTTCCCTTAGCCACATAACTCCTGTTTTATACGTCATGAGATGGTGGGAAATGACTCTTGGTGACACGCACCTGAGCGAATTAATAGCCTTGGCAGGGCTGGTCTAAATACATATGCTATATATATAAAAATATATCATAGGAACGGACGCTGCGGCGGCCTCTGCGCTCCAGGCCCTGGTTCACCACTTTGGAAGCTCGGCAAAGCAATTATGAGGTCAAACGAGCCTGTCCTTGTACGTGCACAGCAGTCTGCTTTCGCCGCAAAGACTGGGAAGCAAACGCAGCTGGAAGAAGCGCAGACCGTCGGCCTGGAGCGAGCTCCTTCCATTTGGATTCTCCTAAACCCTGACAGTCGCCTCTCCTCGTCCTGAGAGCACAAAGCGGTGTCGCAGGGGTTGTGACAAGCAAACCCGAGTTCTCAAAAAGAAAAAAAAAAAAACAAAACAAAACCTTCTGTGGTTGGTTTGCTCCGTGGTTTCGCGCGTAACAGGCTCTGCGGAGTCTGTGCCAACCCCCAGCTGGGTTCGCAGGGGTCTAGCACAGCAGCGCCGGGGCTCGGGGTCTTGCTGGAGAGAAATGCAGCTGGCGTACCAAAGGCTTGCTCTCTCCTCTGGCTTCTTTTGGAACAATATTTATTTTAGTTTTGATGATGATTTTTTTTTTTTTTTTTTAATCAGACTGCGCAGCGAAACGCCAGCCCAGGGCAGCTTTTCCTGAGCGCGGGACAGACACATGGGCTAAAACACTGCAAGAGCAGCCGCTCCTGTGGTGGAGAACGCGAAGCAGCCAGGAGTGCATGGCATCCTCCTCCGTATCCGCTTATCCCTGCCCGCTTGTAACCACGAGGGGTGAATAAATAGTGTTTCTACTGAACGCTAGTGGAGAGGTTTTCTGCCTGCACCCTGTGCTGCCTGCCTGCCCTCTCCTCTTAGCAGTGGGTTTGCTTAGAAGCAGAGTTCGGTGGTGAAAGCCGATGCTCCTTCTTCCTTTGTTGCTTGGAGTTGCCCTCTGTGTGCTGAAACTTTTCACAGAGAAGCTGATTTCTGTGGAGCTGATAAAGAATAGTGCTTTGTTTTGAATGCGTTGTATAGAGACATCGCACCGACAACCAGGGCACCTCCCGGAGGCCCGTGTCTCTCTGGCTGGGAAAGATGTTGGGGGGCCTGGGAGTGGGGCAGATAATAACTTTGATCATGTCCGAAACAGCCCGCTGCAGTACTGCAGAGCGCCTGCCAGCGCTGAGAGCCGTTTCTGAACTGGAAAGTTCCTGCTGCACACACTTTCCTCTCTCCTGCTTTGTTAGCAGGGATTTTCTATGGAGGCAGAGTCTTTGTTCCTTCCAAGTGCTCCTGGTTAGCCTCCTCTCGCTAGGAAATGAGCAAGAACAGCACATCTTAAGAAACAAAGGTCTTTTTTTTTTTTTTTTTTTTTTTTTTCTTTTAAAATTATCAGGACTTTTTTCTAAGACCTTCAGCATTATATAAGGGGTGCATTTTTTTTTTTTTTTTTTTTTTTTTGCATGTAAATGCTCCTGAAGAATGGCAGCAACCCTGGAGACAAAGCAGAGCTGTTTCCACAGAGAAATGCAGGTCCTGGCTTCATCACCGTCTCCTCAGCACTGCTGGGGGGCTGACACAGTCCTGTTCTACCCAGGCCAGGCCCCAGG